GGTCCCAAGAGAGCCCCTAAAGCTTCCAAGAACGCCCCGACAAGGCCCCCAAAGGAGCCCAGACGGGCCCAGAGGCGCCCAGGAGGCCCCAAGAGGTCCCAGGATGGCCCCAAGATCGCCCCAATATGGCCCCAAGAAACCCCCAAAAGGACCCCAAGCGGCCTCCCCGAGGCACCCAAGACGCCTAAGAGTCCTCAGGACCGCCAAGAGACCCCCAAGACGTCCTAAGAGGCTTCAGAACAACCGCCCACGAGATACACCAAGGGGCTTCGAGAGGCATTCAAGAGACACCTCCAAGAGACCCGACGAGGCTTCACGAGGATCCTCGAAGCCCCCAAGATCCCCCCCAGACGCCCCGAGAGGTTTCCAAAACAACCCCCAACATACATCTTAAGTGGATCATATGTCCGTCCTGTTTCCTCCTCCTTCTCCTTGTTTTTTTTTTTTTTTCTGTTTTTCCTCCTCTCCTCCTCCTCGTCCTCCTAGGAGCAGAAAGCGCCCGCACCGCGCCCATGCAAGCATAGCGGTGGCTGCCAGGGTGGCTGCACTGCCAGGGGTGCACGCAAGCAACGAGCTGCAGGGTAGGCGGACTGCCAGGGAGGCTGGCTGCCAGGGTCTGCAAGTTGCGATGTGAATTGTAGCTGGTGGGGATACGCTATTTTGTCGGCGGCTCCGAGGCGGCGGACAGGGAGCGGTAGGCTGGTGGGGATACGCGAAGCGTCTAGAATTCGCAATTACCACCCAGTACGCATCCAAGACAACGACTGGCATGAACTCGAAATACATCCCAAGGCACATCTGGGACGACCTCAAGCATGAGCACGAAATACCACTCAAGACGCTTCACGACCCCACATTCCACCAATCGGCCGTCCCATTGCTGTGCTGGATGGGTCGCTGGCCTCTCGTGCGACACTCGGTCTCCCGTGTAGAAGATTATGATGGTGAGCTTGTTCCCTCGGGTCTCAATCACCTGGCAACTCCTGCCGATGGACGCGCCCTCGGTGATCTGGACTTAACGCCCGCTGAACAATTTGAGCGGCCAGAAATACAATGGCACAGATCAAATATCGCCACATCTTCAACACTATCATTCGAGAACACATCGTCCGCAGACCAATGTACAACACGCCGAATGTGTACATTATCATGATCGAGCAGCACCGGCAGCACAGGTCTTGCAACAAAATCATATCTACAAGGATTAGGCATTGAGAACATACGTAGCCAGTCTCCAACGAATGTCTCAGTATGTCCAATGGAACGGAGGCCGGCCACGCCCCATTCTGCCAGAAGCTACAGCTCACCCTCGAGCTGGCCCGTCCTGAAAAGGAGCCCCCCGTCCGCCTGAACGATCTCGAAGGCCCCACGCGCGTGCAGCCAAGCCCCACAAATACGAGGAAACGGCCGAGCACGCTCCACCGCTTGCCCTTCACCAGCCTCAGAGACGATCCCAACTGGAGGCTCAGGAAGCGATTTTGACAGCATGCGAATGCCAGTATCGCCTGGAAGAACACCGCGACCATCACCACGCGCACGGCCTGCACCGCCATCAGGGTGTAAGAACTCGGGGGCGGTCGTGTTGAACATGAACTTCAGGATGTCGGGGAGCACCGCCGAGCCAGGACCCAGGACTCCAGTAGAGTGATGCCGAGAAGCTTGGGGAAGAGGACCCGACCAGGTCCATGGATCACCACCACCCGCGTGGCAAGGATCTCCGCCAAGCCACTGGACAGCTGATGCCAGATGATGTCTGCGGCGCCCGCCGCGACCATCGGTGTGATCACCATGGCGGCCACTCTCATCAAGGCCACCTGAGGGTCCCCTAAGAGGAGGCTGCTCCCCGGGAGGTACTGCAGCACCTAGGCGCATAGACAGCAGCAAGCCAATTTTGCATAACCATCCGAATGCCGATGGCCATGATCAACGCCATGCCGAACACCATCCAGCCGACAGGGTGCGTCCATGATAGCAAGCTGCATGCGTTGTGTGATAGGGGCCAGGCGCTCGACAGCCGCGGCGCCGCCGGCAGCTATGTGAACGGCAGCCGCACCGAGGAGGGCGGAGGAGGAGGGCGGAACGGTGTGGAGGAGGACCGATCCCGAAACGACCACCTGTGACTACATTGGAGCCGCCTTCGCTCGGTCACAAAGTGCTGCTCAAAAGGATCCGTTTGGGATGCTCCCTGAGCATTACACAACGAGCTAAAAGGATGCGCATGCGGACATGTAGAACCGTCTGCCCTCTGCAGCCTCTCCTCTTCTTCTCCTCCTTTCTCCTCCTCCTCCTCCTCCTCCTCCTCCTCTTCCTCCTCCTCCTCCTCCTCCGCCTCCTCCTCCTCCTTCCTCTCCTCCTCCTCCTCCCTCCTCCTCCCTCCTCCTCCTCCTCCTCCTCCTCCTCCTCCTCCTCCTCCTCCTCCTCCTCCTCCTCCTCCTCCTCCTCCTCCTCCTCTCCTCCTCCTCCCTCCTCCTCCTCCTCCTCCTCCTCCTCCTCCTCTTCCTCCTCCCAGCTGTTGCTGATAATGCTGCTGCTGCTGCTCCTCCTCCTCCCCCTCCTCCTCAATCGTAGCCCAAGAAGGGTTCGTTTGTCGCTATTCTAGCCCAACCTCACCTTGCTGTAAGAACTGAGATCGAACTGCCCGTGCCAGCATTGGCATCATGTCAAGACCCGCACCTGGACGGCGCCAGATCGAATTGTACAAGAAAAAATCAGGAACAAGTCTCTGGACAGCAAACAGTCTCTGAGGTTCCGTCATAGCCCTGGCCAGCCCAAGACGACGATCCAATACTTGCTGGGCACGATACCGACTGGACCGCACCCCAGAGCAGCGGACACGAAAGGTAATGTCTCTGTGCGCCAGCTCCGTCGTTGCATCCGAATTTGCATTCACATACTGTCTGGGTCATCCGTCCCTCCGTCGTCCCCCCCCGAGAGACTTGATCGTGCAGCAATGCCGTGCAGGTGGAAGTTAAGCAACGCACTCCCTTAGCTCAGGCCAACGAAGACCAGCAAGCGCTTGCGCCGATGGCTCTCGAAGCCCCCTTGGTCAGTATCTCGATGAGGGTGGCGGCGAGATTCTCACAAAAGAACGACTTAGACAAAAAAGCTGGCCACAGTCTGTTGCATAGCAAAGTCGGGACCCGCACGTTGCGCCTCAGCGAAATCTTCCAGGGCAGCCGACGTATGGCCCCGAAGCCGAGAAGCCCCAGGGAAACTACTTTGTGCAAGGCCCACGACTCCCATTGCAGGATCGCCTTTGGGACGAAGTAAGTTGAGCAAAGTATCCGGGTGTCGAGACGGCACGAGCGTTGTAAAGATGCAGAGCCACGGACGGCGGAGCAGGCTATTGCGCAATGCTGAGCACTACTCCCACTTATTCTGGAAAGACCCGAGCCCATACTCGATCCTTCGTGCCAGCAGCAGGTCCTACCCATGCGCCACTAGATTCCCCTGCACCGGCGGTCGGAATGATTTTCCACCGAGGGGCTAGCTTGGCAACCTGCTGTGAAACATAATGTTGGAGACCCTCGGATAACGAACAAGCAGCGGGAACGATCCGACATTTGGAGATTTTCGGAGCAAGGCCAGCTAGAACTCCCGCCGCATAAAAATTGCCAGATGGGCGCCCGAGCACACTTAACTCGGAAAACAAGGGGCCCACGTCACCAGCACGAAAGGCAACCTCGGACCCACGGACCCAAGGCGACGTCTGAATCGCACTCGCATGTCATGTAAAAAACGGGGCCATGGCCAATGCACGCGTATATTCCGATGCAGGATCACCCTGCATGACTCGCAGCAGGATCGCACAAAATGCCAGAGGATCTGGGTCTTGGCATGCGCGAGCGCACATGTGGCCTGCGCGAGGAACCGGGAGCCCATGGTGCACCGGCGCTTTTCCAGGACAGCCCACTGGAAACAGTGAGCGAGAGAGGGAAAGGCGCTGCCGAAGTCGAAGAAGAAGAAGGCAAGGAGGCGAGACATGACCAGCGGGCGCATGCAAGCAATCCTTGCTGATGCGTCAAGGAGCGCGACATTGTTCAAGAAATCCGCGCCCGGATCACCCCTGGTCTGGGTGGGCCAGTGCCGCAATCTACAGTTCGACCGCTGATTGCAGGCCGCTGCGATTCTCTTCGCGTCCAAATTCTTCTGGGCGGGCGGCCTGGCGTTCTGCGCCTCTCCCACGACAAATGCGCCATCCTGCTGCCGATGGCCTCTGGGGGCGGAGGCCAGGAATGCGTCGCTGGGAAATGCGCGCGGGGACGGGGGGGGGGCGCGGGGGAGCTCAAGTATTAGATCAAATACTAAGCGAAGCGAAAGCTGGCGTTGTTGCCATGCCGCGCAAGGTGGACCATCGTGGCCTGGGGCCGTAGCTTTGGCCCTTTTCGGGTCACCGCGGCAATGGGGGCCGCCGAGGGAAGAGCAGCGCAGGGAAAATCAAACTTGGAAAGCTGCTGATCGAGACATCCCTCAACGCGGGGCAAAGGCGGGGAAGCGGGGCGCAAAGGCAGGGACCCAGCGACCCTGAAAGGAAGCCCCCATCGCCACAGCAGGGGGGGAGAGGGCGCAACCATCGGGGGAAATCAACGCCTGGAGAAGGGGAATCGTTCCCTTCGGCGCCCGCGCCTTCCCCCTGCGCCTCTCCGCTCTGATATAGGCTCTTACTCGTTTCGCGTTTTCCTCAGCGCGCGACGCGGGGGCCCTGGATCGCCGCTTCAGCGCGGGCAAGCCCGTCGCCCAGAACCTCTCGTCGCAGGCCCCCATACTTCCTACGACGAGCCCCGGGCCAGGAGAGGGGCGCAGTCTGGCCCGCAGATCGCCGAAAACTCAGCCGCCAGGGCCCCCGATGCCAGGAGCGAGCGTGCCGCGCGAACATCGCAGGATAACCGCTCTGGAGATCGACTTGAAAATGCCTAACATAGCTTCCAGGCGGGGGGGGGCGGGCCGAAATTAATCGACTCCCAGTGAGTTTCGCAGCCTCACGTAACAGACGCATGTGCTCATACCATCTCACGATCAGTGTTGAACATCTCGCATTCGGCCCCAGGATGGACGAACGTTTCAGGAGAAGGTCGAAGAAATGCTTGCGCTCTGAGGCCTAACAAAAGATCCCCCGCCGCCTTCTGGCACAAGCGCGCGAAGAGGGCCTGCGCTGGCGCATGGTCAGAGACGCCATGTCCGCGCGGCTGCTCAAGGAGAAACGGCAACGTCGCGCTGGTCGACCGCTGCAAGAAGATCCACCCAAGAGTACTGACCATGATACGACCCAGCTGAGTAAGTCGTTGATCCTGCGAAATGACGCGCGCAGGGACTTCTGGATCCACTTCAGCGGGGTTGCCCAGCGCCGACGCTCGCATATCGCCGCGCTCGCGCCGTCGGGACAGAAGTACCAATCCTTTGTCGATCTCAGGGGCATGAAGATTCATCGAGGCCGCCCCCTGATAGCTAATATCACCTATGACCAGCACGGTCGTGCAATGCGGATTCTCCGACGCTGCTGCCGCCTTAGCTTGAATATTCGACGCTGTAGCTTCCACCTGCTGCCGCGGATTACCATAGTCAATATTATACGCAATGGAAACTGCGTCTTGTCCACCCCCGTTGGCTCGAGCATTCGCGCGCAAGCGCTGCGCTCTCTGGCGCGCAACTCTTCGTGACGTAACTGCCCATCACTCAAAACTACATCAGCGGCCATCTGCGAAATACGTGGGAGGAGGTAAACGCGACACCTCCAGCATCGTGCTCAGGGATCGACGCGAACTTGCCCCCCCTGCATCCTCCTGATACTGCAGTCATGCTCCAACTCCTCACTCACCCAGACAGCCGCCTGATCCGTCACTATCTGAATCAACTCGTTCATGTCCTTTTGACGCATGGATGGCTGATGGTGGAGAAGTGCTCTCGCGTCTCATGCCGTGAACTTCATAGGGGCGTGTAGTTCGTCTTGTAATTATCCTTCCAAGTGTTGGACGTCGAACTAAATGTACCGATGAAACAATCTGTCGCGTGAAAGCGAGAGTTGAACGCCGCCAGCACTGCTTCCTTGTCCACCCTGAGTTGCTGCACGCGCGAGTAGTTCCAGAGGGGCTCCGACGGGGAGCCACGATCAAGACCAGGCTGGATCTGCACCAGCGGCGCGCCGCCCACGCACGCAACACCCTTTGACGCGGCCAAGGCGGTGCTCCTATTCAGGGTGCGCCCCACGAAGACCATGGGCCACGAACTGCGCCTGAATCCCGGTGCGCATCTGCTCCGGAGTCTTGTCAATGCCAACGAACACACGCGAAGATCCACCTTCAGTGGTCCTAGTTTGGAATGAGCGCCATGTACCATCTTTGCCTTTGAGAGCTTTGCGAGCGTGAACCATATCCGGCCAGGGTGTCCAGATCCTGATGGGGACATGTTGCCCAGCCAAATACAGGGCCTTCCGTATCTGATCAAGTTGAACACGGAATTGCTGTGGCCAACCCCTCACGAATTTGGGTGTTGATGCGCCCCTGTTTTGTGGCCACTGCTCTAACAAGCTTGGAAACATGCGGCGGAACAACAGCCACGATACTCTTCTACACATTGGCGAATCTGCCGTCGAAAGGTTCCTGTAGCTCCTTCTTGAGAACGGCCAGAAAGGAGTCAATGTCCGTAGTGGCGCTGCCACCGTCATTTGCCATGTCTGAGTCCTCTCCCTCCTGACGAGTGTCGGACACGCCAGCCGAGCCACAGATCTTGACGATGGTTCGTGCACACACGCGGCGGGGGGTCGGAGCACACGAGCACCAGACGTGCCCTTTCCACGCTAGGGGTCACCGTCACCTGCACGTGGATCAGCGCCAACAGAGCGACGAGATGTGGCGCCACGTCCCCCACCGGCAGCGTTCTCCTCTTCACAGAGCGGGGACCGCGTGCCAGATCGGTCGGCTGCACGAGCATCCGCACCAGGCATCCGAAGCCCAGCCGCCGGGGGCGCCCGAGCATGGAGAAAGTTGGGCCGAAACGCCGTTAGAAGTAAAGAATGTAAGGGTCACTGCGGCCAGGGCAGGCTCACAGTGGGATCGGTTGTGTGGCCAATCGCTCGACAGATGCGACGGAGATCGGCCAAAGCTAATCGTGATTCGGTATGCCACTTGACCTTCGCACGTTTCGCCTTGAGCCAAAATGGCTACGGACCTCCTCCCTCTCCTCCTCCTCCTCCTCCTCCTCCTCCTCCTCCTCCTCCTCCTCCAGTCCTTCTCATCCCTACATTGTGTGGCGGCGCGTTCCAGGGGGTGGCGCGAGGGGGGCGGCCTTCTAAGAAGGCGGGGGGCTTCTAAGAGGGCAGATTGGTTCTCGGAAGCCCTCCTGGCTGCTAAGAAGCCTTCTGACAAGCATCCAGAGTCAAGTCCCTACCTTCTGAGACAGCCCCCGCCCCCTAGAAAGCCACCCCCCCTCGTGCCACCCGTTTGTGCACGCCGCCAAAGTCACACGCTAAATTTGCAACCCTCGCACTAAGCAGGGAAGACACAAAAAGGGGACGGAGGGGCCTTTCGGGCTACGGCGAGCCTCGGTCACGAATCGATGGCCTAGCCGCCCCAAGGAGCGCCCCGATGACCAGAACCACTCCTGGACCTGCAGTGGTCCCGATTGATTTTAGCGTCTTCACTGTACGCGCGCCCTCCTCGTGGGAGGAGGGCATGTTTTCACTCGCGGCCATAACAGGCGTCATGGGCGTGACGGGGGGGGGACGGGAGGGTAACGTAAAAGCACCCCCCAAGCTGTGGTGCCGGACGCACTGGGTGGGGGGGGGCATTACGTTATGGGATGGGGAGGGGGCATAATGCGCGTTATGGCCCAGAGGGTAAACAAAGCTCTCCAGTTGTCCTGATTGATTTCAGTGTCTTCACTGCACGCCGGCTCTCCTCCTCGTGGGAGGGCAGGGGCGGGCGGCGCGCCCATCCCAGCCTGCGCTCGCGCAGAGACGGCGCGGCGCGCGGGCGGGCGCCTCGTAGCGCTGCCTGGACCACTCCTTGAAGGTGGCGACTGGGCCTGCCTCGTGCATCGCAGCCCCCCCCCGCCGTCACCGGCAACGCTGCCCGCCCTCGATGATACATTAGCCCGACGAAGGGCCGAGAACCGCATTGTGGGTACCGCTCTCGGTGGAGCTCCTGATGGGGCCACGAACCGTGTGAGGGGTGTGCCGAGTTAGGCGCGGTGGTGCCATGCGAACCCTCCCACTGGAGCCTTCAGTGGAGCTCCATATGGGGCCGCGACCCGTCGTGTGAGGGGTGTGCCGAAGTGGGCGCGGTGGTGCCATGCGAACCCTCCCACTGAACTCTTCAGATGAGCTCCCTATGGGGCCACGAAGCGTGTGAGGGGTGTGCCGAATTGGGCGCGGTGGTGCCATGCGAACCCTCCCACTGGGGACTTCGGTGGAACTCCCTATGGGGCCACGAACCATGTGAGGGGTGTGCCAAAGTGGGCGCGGTGATGCCATGCGAACCCTCCCACTGGGGCCTTCGGTGGAGCTCCCTATGGATCCTTCGGGGGAGCTCACTATGGGGCCACAGAACGTGTGCGGGATGTGCCGAATTGGGTGCGGTGGTGCCATGCGAGCCCTCCCATTGGAGCCTGCGGTGGACCTCTCTATGGTGCCACGAGCCGTGTGAGGGGTGTGCCGAATTGGGTGCGGTGGTGCCATGCGAACCCTCTGACTGGAACCTTCGGCGGAAAGCCCTATGGCCACGAACCGTGTGAGGGGTGTGCCGAAATGGTGGACATGCGGAGGGCAGAGGCACGGATGGGAGGAGCGAGGCGGGAGGACAACGCGGGGCGCTGTCTTTTCAAAACAAGGACCCAACACCACAGGATGGTTGGGGAAAAGTATACCAAACTCTTTGGGAGGACCTAAATTAGGAGGGCCAGAAACAGTAGGGATATGGTTTTTGTTCTTCAGATTTGCCGAGCCAGACCGTACATATTCATTACCCCTGATAAACGACGGGGACCTAAGCGAGGCCACATCTTTACTATGCTATGATGGTTAGGGGATTTTTATGTTCGACGACTCGATGACTTGAAAATGCAGGAATGATGGCAGGATGCAGGAAAGCTCGGATGAGGATGAATCGGGAATCTCAGAGCCGGCGGGGTCAGAGGATGCATCGGGCGCAGCAGCAATCCCCGACCGCTCTCGGAACGCTCTGAGAGCGTCATGGAACGTATGGGAGGGATTGATCCTTATCCGTAAGCCTTCTTGAATCCCCGCTCCGCCAGAGGCGGCAGCGCGTTTCTTGAACCCACCCCCGCCGTCAATGACAGCGTTGTCCGCCCTCTCTCCCAGCACCAGCTTTTCATCCCGAGTCGACTTCTGACGGTCCTTGGACCCCCATACCCCGACAACGGCCCCAAAAAACCTCCTGGACCCCTTTCCCTCAGTCAGGACCCTTTCCCTTCGGCGATCTACCAGCTCCCCCGTCCCAATTTCGCCGCACACCTCGGCCACCTGGCGTTGTGCCCTATGCCGCGAGAAGTACGGCGCGCGGCCATTTTCTCTCTCTCTTTCTCTCTCTCGCGCCGCTCCCCGTGCAGACAGACGGCGTCCCCTGACCCGCGGAGCGCGAAGCTGCGAAGCGCCGCCACACTCCGCCCCTCCCGTGCGGACGCGGCTTGGAGCACCTGCCTGGCAGCGCCCCAGCGCGAGAGGAGGGCGCCAGGCGATGCAGCGCCCGAGTCTAGAAGTCAAACAACTCCACCCCCATAATAACCACTCCGACACGCGACGTCGTTTAGTAAACGGGCCCGAAGAAGGAATCAAACAGGGCAGGGCTGTTTAGTAAACGCCCAGGGCCGTTCAATAAACGCCAATTGTCCGGGCCGGGTGAATGTTCCTCCCTTGACGAGTCGCCTCAAGGGGCCCACGGCCTCTGCGCCCGGCATTCGCGCGGCACGCTGGCCGCCACGGTGAGCCGCCAAGGCACCCTGCACCAGCGCGGCAAAGAGGGGCGGGGCAAAAGGCCGACAGTGGCATCACCGAAGCAGCAGCATCCGAGTGCAGCCAGATCCAAGCCAGAAGAACATCCCTCAAGAACATGAGGCCCTCCGTCGGCCAAAACGCACAGATCATCCGCGGGTGCCCTCCCCAGGATGCACAAGAGCATCCAACAAACACGAAGAACACTTGTAGAGGGCTGGAGATCCACCCCGATAATAAGCACCCCGACAACGCAACCGTTTAGTAAACGCACCCGACGAAGGAATCGAACAAGAAAGCGCTGTTTAGTAAATGCACGGGGCCGTTTAGTAAACGCCGATTATGAGGGTCGGGGTGGATTGTCCTCGTTGAACTAGGGCATTCTCCCCGAGCCGACCTCGATCTCATACCTCGGTCCGACCGTAACTCAGGTCGGAGTGTTTACAGATCTAGTCTGGGCGCGCTAGGGCCGCCTTTGTGGGTCTGCGGACCTAACTGGGGACGAAGAATGGGCGAAAGCGCCCCAGCAGCGCCCGAGAAGGCGGATCAGTGGGTAGTAAACCTCGAAATGGTCACGTTATGGGTCAAATGTGATCTCAATCTGGCTTCAGCGTCATCTCAGGATGGTCCAGCATGGTCCAAGCTAGCCTAATGACTTCAATGACGGCCCAAGACGGCTGAAAAACATTTGTTTGCCATGTTTGCTTCTCTGGGGCCTAATGAGATTCTCGGGCCCTGCGGCATGCCCAAGAGGGCCCAAACAGACCCCTAAGAAGAGTCTGAGTATCCACAACGGGCCCCAAGAGAGCCCCCAGAAGGCCCAAGAGATGCCAGAGAGCGCGGGTCAATCGGCACCAAGCTGCAATATGACCTCAAAATGGCACCAAGATGCCGCAAGACGGTGCCAAGAGCCCAGGGAGCGGCACGCTTGGCTCTCGATGGCCGATCCCCTCGGAGGCCCCGAGGACGGTCGAATCATAGATAACATACTGTTGCTACTACGTTCGACATCCTGCCTCTGCGGGATCCGGTGGGCTTCTCAGGTCCCGCGGTGGCCCCAAGAGGGCCCCGAGAAGCCACAAGAAGGCTCCAAGAGCAGCCGTTGAGAGCCCCAAGAGCTGCCCTAGAGAACGGGTCAGTTGACGCCAGACCTTAAGATGGCCCCAAGACGCCCCAGGACGGTGCCTAGGTTGCCCGAGACAGCCTGATATACTGCACATGTGGTCCCACATGGCCGAAGATGACCCCCTCGGAGGCCACGAAGACGTGTTTGGCCTTCTTTCCTATGCGACATCCACTGCCGTTGTGGACCGTCGCTCGTCCGCAGCGCCCAGCAAAGGCTCAAAACTGCCAAACTGCCCAGCGGCACAAAAACGGTTGAGGGGCGTAACCGAACACGGATTGCTTGGTACCGGAGAGCACGACTGCCTAAAGCACGACGGGCGAAGCGGCCGGGCCTTCCTCCCCTGCGACAACACTTTGAGAAGCCAGATCTTCAAGACCTCCTAGTGGCAAGGGCGCTGGGTGCGTCCACACTTCAGCATCCGTTCGCCGTCGTCTTTGTAGACGACGTCGTCGCCGACAGAATAGTCGCCGTTGCCTTCGTCATCCTCTTCCACCGCTTATTCCTCCTCCACAACCAATTTCGTTCATCCTGGGTATGGCTCAAACTCAGATAAATCCTCCGTCACCTCATTCGCCCACTTATATTCAGATTCCCCCTCGTCTTCCCTCATCTGTACCCCTTCGTCATTCTCATCCAACTCCCCGACTACTCCTAGACCGCACGATCCTGCGTATCCTGACTAGATGGTACGCTCACAGAACGCAAGCATCTGCGTGCCCTGCCACTGCACGTTTGCTGGGTGAGTGATGACTGCATGAAATGGACATGCGGAAGGGGAGGGGGAGGGAGGGGGCTCTTCACTTTAGGTTCCTCGTTCTCTACTCCCTCATCCTCCAACTGTTCGTCCTCTTCCTCCTCACCCTCCCTCATAGTCACAACGTGGGAGAGGGAGGGTGGAAAAGAAGAATAGGAAGGGGGTGGAGCAGCAGCAGCAGGAGCAGATGGGCGGCGACAATACACGGCTCACTGGAGAGGAGAGAAAACCCAAAGAAGGCACCTAAAAGCTGGGTGTCCCCGCCTCCTCCTCCTCCCCCCTGTAACTCACCTGTAGCATTTCTTGTCCTGCTCCTCCATCCCCTTTCCTGGGAAATAATCCCACCAGCCCTCTGGGCGCAGGTGGCTCAACAAACTTGTCAATCAAGCACAGTTTGAACCATCCTTGTCAAACAAGATACGAGCACACACTCTGCCTCCAAACTCGGAGCATGCACGACCAACCCGATGCATCCCCTGTGAAGAAGAATACACAGAACACTGTGAGGCAGAGTCTGGAAACATGTTCGTCAGGCTTGTGAGCACGTTATATTTTGTTGACAGGGACTGCGCGGGTGTATTGCCTGCTGTGCGCAGGGCTACCATCCCTGACAACAAATCAACACAATTGAACCTCGCGGCTAAATCTGGATTATGCGTGGCCACCCCGCGATCACTACCAAGTGGTTTTTGATAGAGACGGTGGGGTCGGTAGCCCATGGCCTGAAATGCGCAGGCCCATCAGACACAATGATGGGCATTGGTTTTCGACAAGGATGGTGGGGGCCGACATGTTTCCCGATGTGTGGTGTCACGTGCGCAGGCGCACCTGACACGCTCTGCATGTGCCCCGAGCGTGGCGCACCTGGCACGGCTGGAGTATGCAGCACACCTGGCGCACGCGGAGGCACGTGGCGCATCCGGCGCACCAGGCGTGCCTGGCACTCTCGGGCCGCAGGGGTGCCTGGCGCGCGTGGCGCGCCTGGCACGCGGGGCACACCTCGCCCCAGCGTCGCGCACATAGGCTCGGATTCGGTTCCCAGTAGCTGCCCATCAAAAGACGACCATCATCATCATCATCATCATCATCATCATCATCATCATCATCATCATCATCATCATCATCATCATCATCATCATCATCATCATCATCATCATCATCATATTCATCATCATCATCAGCATCATCATGAGCATCAGCATCAGCATCAGCATCAGCATCATCATTATCATCAGCAACATCATTATCAACGTCATCATCAGCATCCTCACCAGCATCATCATCAGCATCGTCAGCATTATCACCATCATCAACAGCAGCATCATCAGAAACATCACCATCATCACCATCATCGTCATCAGCAGTATCAACATCATCATCATCAGCATCGTCATCAGCATCGACATCATCATCATAATCATCAGCAGCATCATCAGCATCAGCATCATCATCGACATCACCATCATCGTCATCAAAATCAGCATCATAATGATCATTCCATCCCTCTGGTGCCCCCTTTGGTTCCTCAGACATCGACTCGAACACTCTCCGCAGGGGGCAGCCGGTGGCGCGGTAGTCTGGCGCCGGTCTCCTGCTTTAGCTGGTGGTCAAACTTCTCGGCTATCTGCCGGGGAGGGAGGCTGCACTCCGCCGTCGCTGAAGACCAGGAAGCACCGAAGGTGGGCTCAAACCTTCGGAGAGGAGGGCGGATTTTCTTAGGTCGGCGCTGGATCTCCCTCACCCAACAACTCTTGCGAGAGGGGTGAGAGGGAAGCGGGGTCCAGCGCCGACCCGAGATATTCGCGCAGATCTCCGGGGGGGCTGTGCTGGTGCAACTTGGTTATGTTGTTCTGCCCCTTCCCTCCTCAACTCCCCCGCTGCATCGCCCCTCCCTCCTTCCTCTTCTCTGGCCTATCGACCTTGCTGGGAGAGGGGGAGCGGGGAAGGGGCGGGGGAATGAAATGATCATGATGAGAAGGGGGATGCAAGGAGGAAAGGATGGAGTAGTCACCGAGTGACCGCTTCCCCTCCTGAGACAAGCCACCACTATTCCAACCAGACAAGCAATCTTGGAGAAGGACGGCAACCGACACGTCGAGAAACAACTCTGGCTGACCAGCTGCTTCTCCTCCTCCTCCTCCTCATCCTCCGCCGTACCCTTTCCTCCTGATCATCCTGCTCCCACGTTCAGTCGCTCCTCTTCCTCCTCCTCCTCACAACCACCACCACATATCATCGTCGTCCTCCTCCTCATCATTATCCTCCTCATCATTATTATCATCAGCATAATCATCATCTACATCATCAACATCATCAATAACATCATCAACAGCAACGACATCATCATCATCATCATCATCATCATCATCATCATCATCATCATCATCATCAGCATCATTATCATCATCATCATCCTCATCCTCATCCTCATCCTCATCCTCATCACCATCATTTACGGCCACCCTTCGGGTGATAAGGAGGTTGTAGGGGGGGGAGAGGGGGGGGGGCCAACATCTGACTCAATCGATCTCACTATCGATCTCACTCAACGGGACACCACGGGACACCACGGGACACTTGTCGACCTCACTATCGATCCCACTATCGATCTCACTCAGGGCTGAGCCTAAACGGTTTTTTTTGTTTTCATTTTGTTGTCGTTTTTCCGCGTTTTGTCTTCACTCCGCCTCTACCGCAAAACGAAGTCGAAATGACAACAGCCCACGAACTCGCCGAAACACCGTTGAGGTCCAGCCCTGATCTCACTCAACGGGACACCACGGGCCACCACGGGACACCGCGGGATCTCTCTCGATCTCACTGTCGGTCTCAGTATCGATCTCACTATCGATGTCACTCAACGGGACAACATATGACACCACGGGACACTACAGGACACCTCGGGGCACCACATCGATCTCAATATCGATCTCACTATCGATCTCACTATTGAACTCATTCAACGGATCACTACGGGAAATCACGGGACACCACGGGACACCTGTCGATCTCACTATCGATCTCACTATCGATCTCACTTTTTGGGACACCACGGGACACCTCGGGGCAACGCATCGATCTCAGTATCGATCTCAGTGATCTCAGTATCGATCTCAGTATCGATCTCACTCAACGGGACACCACGGGACACCACGGGACACCTGTCGATCTCACTATCGATCTCACTATTGATCTCACTTTTTGGGACATCACGGGACACCACGGGACACCTCGGGGCACCACATCGATCTCAGTATCGATCTCAGTATCGATTTCACTCAACGGGACACCACGGGACATCATGGGAAACCACGGGACACCACGGGGCACCGCGGGACACCACGAGCCACCGCCGGACGGACGGACGGATGGACGGGCGGGCGGGCGGGATGGATGGACTTCGCCCTAGCAACGGCGGACACCACGGGACACCACGGGACACCGCGAGACACCGCGAGCCACCGCCGGACGGGCGGGAGGGGGAGACTCATTTGTCTTGACTTCGCCCTGGCAACGGCGGACACCACGGGACACCACGGGACACCACGGGACACCACGGGACACCGCGGGACACGGGTGGCCACCGCCGGACGGACGAACGGACGGGGGAGAATCATTTGTCTTGACTTCGCCCTAGCAACGGCGGATTTATTCCTCTCGCGCGCCCACGCAGCTTCGCCTCGCCCGCACGCACGACACGAACGAAACGAAACGATTTCCCGGTTGGGGGTCTCCGTTCCACTGCGATCTCACCCCCCAGCCTTCGATCATCATCCACTTCATCCTCAACCTCACCAACATCAGCAGCACCAGCAGCGTCATCATCATCAGTACCAACATCATCATCGTCGTCAACATCCTCATCATTAGTATTATCATCATCAACATCATACTCATCATCACCAACCATCAACATCATCACCATCATCGGCATCATCATCATCATAATCATCATTATCATAGTCGTCAGTACCGTCATCAACGTCACCGTCACCATCACCATCACCATCACCACCATCATCAACATCCGCATAAACATCAATTTCAACACCACAATCGTTATCACCAACCTCATCATCACCCTCACCCTCTGCATCAACATCACCATCATCACACTCACCAGCAGTATCGTCGACAGTAGCATGAGCATCCCCTACATCATCATCGCCATTACCAGCATCATCAGTACCACAACCACCACCATCAGAAGCAACAGCAGTAACAACATCATCACCATCATCAGCATCAGTATTCGCCTCATCAGTATTGCCAGCACCATCCTATCATTCACATTAGCACCAAATCACCTATCATCGTCAGCATCACCACCATCATCATAATCAACATCATCATCCTCATCATCATCGCCAACCATCTATCATAAGCAACATCGTCATCATCAACATCGTCGTCGCCATTTCCATCAACAAACAACATCAGCATCTTCAACATCATCACCACCACCACCATCGTCATCATAATCAGCACCAAAACCAGCATCGTCATTATCATCATCAGCATCATCAGTATATTCATCGTCGTCACCCCGCCACCACCATAGTAGCAATAATGGTAATAAGGATACGGGCGATGGTGGTAATACTACAAATTGTAATGATGGTTTGTACCATGAACAACAATAGAAGTAGTAATGATAAAACGATATCACTACTATGGCTATTACACATGATACTACTCAAGGCGATTAAGAATGCGAATAGTAAAAATAAAACAAAACGATAAACATACTTATACGAATAGTAATCCGTCGACCCCTTGTACGTCTCTAGGCGTCTAACCATTCCCCCCCATACCACCCCCCAGGGACCCCAAACCAGCAATTAAACCCCCCCTCCCCGGCCCGGACCGAACGCCGCATGGCGGGAAGACGGTCCAAGGAGGCCCCGAGTCACCGAAAGAGCGTGCAAAAACGCATACGATGCGCTCAAGACGGCTCAAAATGCCCCCAAGACATCCCGCAAAGCCTCGAAGAGGCCTCCCAAGATGGCCCCAAGAGGCCAAATTCATCTGAGAAAGAGTACGCGTTTAGCATGTACGACTCTTTGTCCTTCCCAGCACTGAAGACGGCCCAAGAGGCCCAAAAGACTGCACCAAGGAGGTCTCAACAGGCCCTCGGAAGGCTCCAAGAGGCCCCAAAGAAAACCCCAAGACACCCAAGAGGCTCCAAAACAGGCCCCAAGAGGCTTTCTTTAATTGCTTCCATCCAAGACGCCTCAAAATGGTCCTAGGGAAGCGGTCGGGAAGAGAGCCGCCAGATTGGCCCAGAGATCCCCGCGACGGTCCACAAAGCTTCCAAAACAACTCGACGAGAGGGCCCACACGGGAATGCCTCAACGGGTATCTCGAGCCCTCGACTTCGAGCGGGCTCCGAGCGGGTTCCAAGAGTCACCAAGAACCCGCTCGAAGAGTCCCACTATGACTTTTCTAGGAAGCCATAGAGGCCCCCAAAAGTTCCCACGAGACTCCCATGTGACTCCCAAAAACCACTCCAATCTCCACCAAAGAACCTCCCAAATACTCCGACGAGACCCCCAGAAGCTTCCGTGAAGACCCTCAACCACAACCCAGAAAGCGTGGCGGGATGGGCCGAAGGTCAATCGATACTTGACGTTGTGGGGGCCTGCAAAAAACCGTCTCCTCGTCCTCCCATGCTCCT